TATTGGATATCCAATAAGCCCCTAAATTATTGGATCCCATGGACAAGATCCAATAAGAGCCCATGAGAGATTATTTGATAGAGATCCACTAATCTAAAAAGCTTGAGTAATTGGATGCAGATCTAATACCCACTAGGGGAGGATCCATTAGGGTTTGACAGGGGACCTCTATAAATAGGAGGGATTCAGTGGTTCATAGACTAGAGCCTTTGCTTGTCTCTCTTATTCTCCTCTCCCTCTCAACCTCAGAGCAGGCCTGGAGTTTTGAGGAGCATCGTCGCAGCCCTACTACGTGGATCACCGCTAGAGAGGACGCTTGACCTCCTTCACCCTCTCCTAGAGATCTGCAAGGAAACAGGGATATACGATCTCCTTAGGTAACATAATCTATTCTAAACGCAGTTTATTTCGTAAATTTTGCGCACTAATCTTCGCACGATGACGAACATCTTTTTGGGAAATTAGGGATTTTGTTTTCTTGTTCTTCTATTGTGCATGTGATGTCGCCCCAAGATTTCCCAACACTTTGTTTAGCTTAGTAAATATCTTAAAATTTATAGTTAGCACATAACTGGGATTAGAATTGAGCCAACCCAATTAGGGGATAGTTGGGCCAAGTTTGGGCTGTGTTGGGCCAAGAGAAAGACCCAAACAGTGACTAAATAGGTGAAACCATCGTGGCACAGTCTCCGAGACTGTGTCAAGCACTGGAACCGCCAGTTTGACCAGTGGTACCGCCCAAATTCAATCTTCGAGACTATCTGGGTGGTGGTACTGTCTAGTGTCAGGTTGCAGGCCGTGGTACCGCCTAGTGCAGGGGGTGTTACAGCCCGTACCGTGAAATTTCAGGGGTTTGAATTTTGGGCTCCAAATTTGAATCCATTTGGTGCCTATAAATACCCCAGCTATTCTTGCATGGATAAGCAAGAAATATTGAGCAAAACCTTATGATTCTAAAGTTGTAAACCTTAGAAAGTTGAGTTCCCTCCTCCCAAAGCTTAAAGAGTGTTCTAAGGGAGGTGTGAGATGAATATCTTATAAAAGAGGGTTGTAAAAGGTTCTCTTAAACCTATAAAAAGGAGAAGAGAGGTGTAAAAGGGTAGTTGGTCTTCGCCTATTGAAAGAAGACCGATAGTGGATGCCAGTGGCCTCGACGGAAGAGGAATAAGCGAAGTGGATATAGATCACGACGATCGAACCACTATAAAAATCTAGTTTGCGATTCTCTTATGCAATTTACTTTACTTGTTTTACATCTACTATGCTCTTCCATACATTTTCAAAGTTAATACCTTTATGAAATGATTTTTCGTCAGAAATGAATTTAATCGCAATGAAGTTTTGAACCGACATAATTTTTACCACTATACTAATTCACCCCCCCTCTTAGTGCCAACTCTTTTCCTAACACTCCATATTTAAAGGAGGATTAGGTTCACATCGACAAAGATTGATCCTCTACCTAAGAGGGTTCATCGATGAGGAGTGACCCCTTGCCAAGGGACAAGGGTCGTCAATTTAAGACACGAGCGCCCCCTGACCCTTTTAATGTTCGCCTAATACACGAGGTTGGAGAATCAATCGAAGAGGCATAAGCTTAACATGACAAATGAACTAGATGTCACACTTCGAGTCCCTCTTGCGAGAGCCCCGAAGCATGCCTTCAAGGTGTATAAATGATACAAAGTATACTATTAACCAATCATCATCCTATACATAATCGTCATATGGTGTCCAGGGTAAAAGGAGAAGACAGAGGTTACCGTCCACCCGTCTGCCCACATATGCAAAGGTCGAAGACAAATGATATGGGTTGTCCCCCTTTTTGTCACCCGTGTGGATAAGAGGCCAAAGGGAGGCTATTAAAAATGGTTAGAGGCTACCTCTCCATAAAATATTCATGAGATATTTTATCCCTTTATGTATAAAAACTTGTTATTAATATAATGAAAAATATAAAAACTTGTTATTAATATAATGAAAAAGAGAAGAGGTAATTACTTTTTGACTACTCGCATCTGCACTTATCTAACTTGGGAATCAGAGGATCCGAATAGAAAAACCTCTCCAGACCTTAGTCTTCATGTATATATCATATATATGATACCCTAGAAGCTCAGACCACGTCGGGTTATGTGCAGTGTGAAATGCACATCTACAACTATATTTCTCGTGCAAAACCAGAAGCATAAGAGGAAATATAAACTTTTACAACATCGAACATTTTATCCAACTCCAAACCAAATCGCCAATGTTCGTCGGGGTTCACAGAGCTTGATTATTCATGTTGGATAACCAGCATCAAGGCTGCTCTTCCTCCCCCCAAACTTCAAATCTTCTACAATTCCAGTACATTTGCTATACAGAAGTTCAAATTTCCCACTGTGACATCATATTCATTGTAAACCAAGCAAATTGCAAGCACAAACAAAAGCTTCAGCTGCACCAGCAACAAGAACATTTAGGATAAATCAACATGATAGTTCCATTAAAAAATGTCCAAATCCCACACCATGATCATGCAAGTACAAGCAAGACAAACCACCAATCCCTTCCTCACAGACATAAATGCAATCCTAGAAAGGCTTAGAAGAGCTTGTAGGGGGAGGCATCCAAGGGGTGGATGAGGTAGGTGAGAACCAGGGCCACAAGCATTAGCAAATAAGCAATCCCCTGGTCGATTGATGTGCCTGCACAAGAGAAGAAAGAGTATATCAATCCAACAATCCTTCAACAGATAACGATCAAACAAGACTTATACCCACATCAAGATCAATGAATTTGCAGTAAGAGATGCATTAAGAAAACATAGTCTTCATTACATCATACGATCGCAACTAATTTGCAACATTTAACCAACGTTTAGCCCTAAAAAGAGGAACTTTACAAAATGTTAAGAACACCGAACCTATTAGCGAAACCCTAATCCATGTCACGCTAGATCCGTAGACCTTCAACATTATCTCTGATCTAAAAAATGAGCGTCTACTTCAAAGATACAAACTTTTACTCCAATACGGCATGGATGTACGAACGAACAGAAATCTACACTTGAACCGGATCCTAACTGTTACAAACTAGTAAAATCTATGAAAAGGTAACAGAACAAAAGGGGAAGAGAACACATCCAGCACGAAGAACATAAAAAAGGGTCCGGTTTTTGGCTTCTATAAAATAACTGGATATATAACGTGAATACGAGAAAGAACGAAGGAAAAGATCAAATCACCGTCGCTGGTAGGTGATGGGGCGGGAGCCTGAGCCTGGACGGACGGCACAACAGTCGCCAAGGCGAGAACCAAAACGGCCACTAAAACTTTAGGGATTGCCGCCATCTCGGCCGTGATCTTCCTCCGCTTCGAAAAAGACTGGAACAGACAGACAAATCTGAGATCTCTCTCTTCCTTCTCTGAGCGGAGCAGAGAGGAGGAGGAGAGAGATCTGCGAGAGGTAATGTGCTTCGAATCGATTTCCTCCTCTATTCCTATCACGGTGCGAAGGATCGGGTTTTAACGCGGCATCGGTCACTAAAAAAAGTACAGGCAGCAACGAATCCGGCACGCCGATGTTGTGGTCCCCACGTGTTATTCCTCCCACAAACGAACCGGGTCAAGCCAAGGGTGGCCCGGGTCTACTGGCGACAGCTCGGACTGCCTACGTGCAGCCACATCACAACCGACCCCCAAAAAAATGAATTAAACAAATATAGGAAAGTTCTCGATTGAAAATAAGAATGTTAGGGATGATAATTTGATAACAGACTCGGTGCATCCTCTGACCTGGTTGAATTTGATCTCATTTCACCGGAGAATAGGGAAGAGTCAGATCATAAGATGAGCCAGCATCGGGATCGGGATCTCATTAACCGACATCGGAATGAGAACACAGTCTCTAATTTTTAAAAATTACTATTTAATCCTATTTTAAATATTTATAATCACAATGGGAGATTCGTCAGGATAAAATAAGAGATTAGGAGAAAAATAAAATAAAATCGATAATACGGAAATTTCAAATAATAAAACAAATTTTATTTTTTGATATTATGAATAAATAAGTAGGAGGTTTTTTTTTCCATGGCCCGAAGCCCGTTCGTGCCATCTAAGAGCTCAGAGAGACAGCTAGTGATTGAGAAATCCAAATTACAGGTCGATCAGAATGAAGAATGTGGATTTTCCAACTCACAAAATAAGAATCAGTAATGGAAACTGCAGAGTTGAAGTTCTGATGTAAGTCAGAATGTGGATTTTCCAACTCACAAAATAAGAATCAGTAATGGAAACTGCAGAGTTGAAGTTCTGATGTAAGTCATGCAATCGAATTGGCCAAGCACAAACCATTTTATAGATGGTTGGGTTGAGGACTGCATTACATTGAGAACAGATAATTGGATTATAGTATTTTTATAATTTTGCCACAGTAGTGCAGTATTCAGTATTAATGTGTAGTAATGTACGATCAATTTAATATCACTTTGGGGCCAATCTAAAATATCTGAGGATTGAACTAAAACTTCCGAAACACTAATTAATAATTATTGTATATTTAACTGTTAATATTGATTATGACGTTCTAATTCCGTACTGCGATTTGATAATTAATAAACCTTTGGCATCCTTGTAGAACATTCAATCTCTCACTAAGATGATGACCTTCCAACATTTATGTAGGTCTTATTATCTTATAATAATCATAACAAAAATCTCCTACATAATTAAAAAGATATCATCTTGTAATGAAAACAAAAGTCTATTTGTGCTATACCATCAAAAGACGTCAGTGATTCTTACGGTTCCCCACGTCTAACGCGTGATGTGCATAACGTTCCTTATCATAAAGGATTATTTTATTATTTTAACACAATCAATATAATTTCTCAATATCACATTACGTGGACTTAATATAGTTCATTAGATTTCACGATTAGGACTAAATTGCTCGATCCAAATTTTATATTTTCTTTTGTGAGATCTACAACTTTAAGAGGCACTCTCCAGATGTGAATACAATGAAAATATTATTTGAACTTGAGTGCATAACCGGGAAAAAAAAAGGGACGGGAGGGAGAAAAAGATATTGTCGTACAAAACAGTCTACGTATGCTATCCCCTTGAGCCCGTATCCATAGCATGTTGTTCTAATTTCTCGTCTCCTCGGGTTCAAACCTCTCGTGGGTACAGATTGAACCCAACATGACATCAACTACAGAAGCCAGATCTCATCTTTACTGTCCCTAACACCTTCCTATGTTCCTAGGTTTTGATGTGCCAAAGTGTGGTAGATTGCATGAGAGATGAGCCAAAAATTAGCTAAGCTACAATGCTCCAAAGTATCATCAAGAAAAATTGAAAAGTTAATCAGTCGCCGAGAGGATCTGTAGCCGTGTACGAGACACCAGGAAAACCACAGAGTTCAGGCGTCGTACGATCACGGCAGGCTTCACTTTGCGAAGGTTGTACCGAGAAGTTAGAGAGGTCTCAACTCACGAGTTCATCACCCCTCTGCTGGGCCCTTCGCTCTTTTCGTCCCCTCTTACTCGATCTTCTACATGGATCTCTGCCAAACACTAATCTAGATGTGCGAAGAACGGATCGAAAGAACGACCCGGAGATCACCCAAACTCGAATTCATCTACGAGTCCGGCCGTCCCACCTCGCTTTTACTTCCTATCCGAAGGCAAACTTGGAAAGAATAGCACCGCGTAAGAAGCGATTCCTCCATAGGTCCTTCGTTTGGCAAGATACTAAAGAAAGGGGGAAAAGAGAGTAAAAGAAAGAAGAACAAAAGAGGAGGTGGAGGATGCTCAGTGAATACGAACCAAATTAGATGGACTTCATGTCGCCGGATCCGAAGAGGAACCCGACGATCACAGTAGAGAATGTTTTCTCTTCATCGCATCCGAGAACGGGAAGCAGTATGAAAGAGAGACGAGGCTTTTTTGGAACAGTTTGATGGCAGGAGACGGCCGAGGCGAGGATGATATCCGGCGGAGGTTGGCCACCTGGGGGTATTTATAGAGGTGGGATATTAGGGCAAGTAGTGCAGCAAGCGAGAGGGGTTGGGTTCGGGGCCGGTCGAATTGGACATCGACCCGATCCCTGTCGAGTGGTGTAGAATTGGGTCCGGTTGAGTCTCTATATAGTAGTTGAGGAACTCGGCTGAAACCAGATCGGATATAATTAGGAATATAGCGGCCCAGATTTAGATCAAGAGATCTGACCGTCAAAATGATTTCAAGCTCCCGTAGTGAATAATGTATTTTAAACAGATGAAAATTATTGAAACGGAGAGGATATAAATAATAAAATTATATTTTATTATTTTTACAGAGGATTCTTAAAAGAGGGGGCTACCAAAAATGGAATTCATCGAGTTCGGATTCATTCATGCCATCGAAAGCGGGATACTTTTTCTACCCATCTCATCAGCCGACACAGACAAACCGGGAAGAATATTTGCGATGACAAGCTTATGCGGAGAAATATAATAGCTTTCAAGTACAACGCTCCGAAAGAACTCACAACAAATGACCAACAACTACTGTTCAACCATAAAAATAGGAAGTTCAACAAGTATATCTTCAAAGGTTCAGCAATATTTGATTTCCTGTAACCATCGTCCCACGTCCTCAAAACGTCGATGAGAAATGACTTTATCGGATCAAATAGCTGTTTGTGACAAATATAACAACAGGAAGTCCTTCAAACTCCCAGCACTCCACAAATAATAAGGCCATTGACGCTATTTTTCTCGGTGAACTTTAGTGCCTGAAATTATTCCGTTATCTATCATATACCATGGATGAATTATGGGCAATTCGGTGGAGCAGTCTCACCTTATAATTTCAGAACCCCTTCATGGTGGTAACTCAAATAATAAGAAAGAAAACAGAGGATTCGGAAATATAAAGAAGACAAATTACAAACAAGCAAATTTACCATGCCACCAAGGCTCACCCACTTAATCATTAATCATAGTATAGGATGGATATATCCTTAACACAATTCATTACGTTATCATAAAATATATTCAACAATGTAAAGAACCCTTAGCTTAGTTCTTCATAACATATGTTAGTCTAAGCAGTATAGGATTCATGAAATAAGAATATTTACTTGGTTTTACCAATCATCATCTATGTTCAATAACAATACAACAGCATATTGAAAGGTCATGTACCCATCTCTTCCTAAATTACAAAAGAAGAGCTAAACTTTAAGGAATGTAATAATTATCATCAAATGATGCTGAAAAATAAGTATTAGTACCTAACAAGTACATAAACATCTCAAAGTAAATGTGTTTTTTCATGACCTTAATGCATCTACAGCTTTTAAAAATCTATGAAACCACACGTTATTTTAAGTTCACAATGATCATAAGGTAAACAACTCGAAGAATCACTCAAGTAATCATCAAAAGGTCATATTGACTCTCACAGAACTGTGGTTATCCCACACCATTAACAGAGTAATAATCTAAGATGGTTATAATATGACAACAAGCTCCATACATATAATACCAACCCAACATCCACCACCTTGCTTGAGCATAAACTTCAGATTCTACGATCCAGACTTATTTGCATAGTCATCATGCAACATAGAACAGTGGACAAACAGGAAGAAAAGAACGCATCACAAAGTGCATCTAGTGCTCCAACATGAAACCTGCCTCTTGTTACATCAACAACAGGAAAAACTCCATAATGATGAAGAGAAACACAAAGAATACTCGATGATTCATAGAAATGACATGTATGTAAATAACATAGATTTTCTAAAACAAATCACCATTAAAATAAAACTAAATTGTCTTACTTGGTACAATAATAACTCCGATCCACATCATAAAACTCAGAATCACTTATATTAACCCATACTGATAATGTCCATGCCTCTAATTAGGAACTCAAAAGGAGAGTTCTAAGCAAATATGGATAAACAGTCATTACACCGATCGAAAACCATCACTAGCCAATTAACTGCCAAAATCAAACTGCAACCACACAGATCCTTCAACTCTATTGGAACTTCTTATCCTTCAATGGCCCCTTTGGAATCTTGCTCAAGTATTTTGCATGAATCACGGAATAATGCTTCTTGAACTCAGTTTGTGCTTTCTCAGCAAAAGCATCAACCTTGTCCTCATACTTCTCATACAGTGGCGGCACCGTATGCAGTGTGACAAACGCTGTTACCCAAACTCAAAGATGTAAATAACTAAAACTATAATTATTAGGGCAGCAAAAAGGTAGGTACTACTGCAAAATTTCAATTACCTATATAAAATAAGGTCAAGAAATTGCAGAAATTGCCGATGATTGAGAAAACCCACAGGCCAGCAATGACCTATAATCAAAGCAGCAGCCATTAAAGGCACAAACAGGGCACCAAAATATTGAACTTGCAAATAAGAACAATGAGGCAACATACAGAAAGGAATTTCTTAAGATCACGCCCTAATGCGATGTCCCTCAGAGCAGCAAAAGCCCAGTTGATCTCATATCGAAGCGAAAGTGCAATGTTCACAGCCATATCTTCCGGAATGCTTACCTCTGGAATGCGTGGAGGGGACCTACAAACGAAGCACAGAGGATTGAGCCACTGAAGAGGGCATACAGAACGAAGCAACAAAAAATTGCAGAGCAAAACTCACTTGTTGATGAAAGTTGATGCGTTTGACCAGAGGAACATGATGGCTAGGGACAGGATGAGACTATGGCAAACAAAGGTCAGCAAGTGGTACTCCATCAACTCAAACAAGACCCAGATGGCCGTCGCTCCACCGAGCGTGGCAGCCGATACCTTCTTATTCCTCCATAGGAAAACATCAGCAGCTGCTCAAGAATCGGTCATTAAATCATCCTAGTCTTATAGCTAATCCACCCTTAACAGGTTATATTTAAGACGCAAATATAGTCTACTGAGATATTTACGATTCGCCCAACATAAAAGGGTATAATATATCAAGACGAAGAGGTAGCTCGATCATCCAATACACTTTACAAACTAAGGACAAATAAGGATATCCATTGATCGAGGTCAACAAGATATCCGGAGCCGATTTAGGGTTTCTGTTCGTATGTACTCAAAAATAGAAAAAAGTAATTTTTTTCCTTATTCAATAAAAATGGAAACTGAAAAATTAAAATCTACATCCGATTCAAATAATAAGTTCGCGAATCACTGAACCACATCTTAGAAAAACCTACAGATCCCGTCCGTCATGCGAGTCGGCGAATACGATCGAGATCAAACCGATGAAGAAAAAAATGGAAAAGGTTTTATTATATTAAAAATGCAAGCAAAATCTTTCAACGGAAAGGGCATCAGGGAGGGACGATCCGTACGTTTCCCACCGCCCAAGACCTTGTGGACGGGCTTCTCGCGCCCGAAGAGGCGGTAAATCTTGGCCTTGACAACCTCGGCGGCGGACGGCGCCGAGGAGTCCACCACAGATGATTTCTCGCCGTCCGAATCTGACGATGAAGAGTCCCCGCCGTGGAACTTCTCAGTGATCTTCTCCAGCAGAGACTCCGCCACCGACTCCTCGTGCTCCGCCATCGTCGCCTCACAAAGAAATATCTAAACCTCTCTCCGAATACTCTCTCGCTGTGGGAATAAGAGGGGATCGGCGGCCATCGAGGAGGCTTTATAAAGGACCGGGGCACGGAGAAGCGATCACGACCGTCGGATCGAGGCAGGGCTTGGTTTAGCGGTCAGATGGAAGAGCGGATGGAGGGGCAAATTTGCCCGAAGAGGGAAGGAAAGATTTAAGTCGAGAACAGTCGGAAGGGTTGTTTGCTTGACGGCGACTTTGAATTGGAGAGGGAGATTAATGACCGTGTTGACGGCAACGTCAGTTTGCCGTTACTTTTTGGGACGGCGTGGCCAGCACGACCGGCCTGGGAGCCGTGCCTGATGCCATTTCCGGCCCACCGGTCACGTGACACCACGTGGACAGGGAAAGCTGTCCTAAATAACACAGCAAACACGTCCGACGCGCACGCGACGCTGTAAGCCAGGACGACGCCGTCGGCCCCACAACAACGGGCATTGAAGGCCGACGAGTGGCCAGGAAAGGTAAATGGTACATCAAAGGTAAGACCGATCGCACGCCGCACTCAACGGTGGATGTCATAGGTGGGGCCCGAGGCGACACGAGAAAGGAGGGGGTGGCCGGTGGGGACTTCGGATGAGGACAAAAGTGGAATCTCGTACATTTTTTGAGTTTTTTTTTCTCCTTTTTCCTTTCGGCTACAGATTTGAACTCGCAATTCCTACCGGTTCGAGGTGAGGAAAAAAGCTGCGTGCAACGCAACAAAGGAATGGACTTCTTCCCCGTTGCCAACTCCTTAATACCTAAGGATACACTGAGACCTGGCATCTAAATGCATGATTGGAGGCGCAGTGATCCAAGAACCTCATTGCTTCCTATCGAAGGAAGATCAATATCCAACAAAAACTCAAAACTAGAAAATTTATTACTCAACAAATTTAATTCATAAAGAAAATTAATTCAAGATGCTACTAACTTTGTTTTACTTTATATATCACATGAGTTACATAACACGCCTCTGTACTCCGATCTTAAATAATAGTTAAATAAATCTTCTACCGGCAAACCAACACTAAATTTATTTTATTTTATTTTATTTTTTTAGAAAATATTATTATATAGAGAAAATCTAATACTCGAATGATCGAACATCACATCATCATCATCTCATTATTAACTCAAATGTTTTGTAAATCTTACATAATAATCAAGCACATCATGTTGTTAATCATAAGACTCACACGATTCAATTGACTATTTGTATGTAAGTAATACTTGATAAATTTATGTGATCTTCCTGTAAATTAACTTCTACCTACTCTTTATACTCACTAAACACAAGCTTTAGGTAGACTTATTTAACAAAAGATTCCTTTGATACTACTCAACATTTTAAAACATTTGAATCAACTTATTTTTTGCACTAATTTAGACATCGACTTGTCTCAAGTGCATCACTGATGCAATTTTATAAAAATCTCAACTAGATTTGATTACTATATACTTATAGTCCCTCATCTATCTAATATCATAGAGATCATATACCGGTATGGTGTTGTCAAACCCATACGATTTCTACTCAAGTCTCACTCTAATTAGATTCTCTTGGAGAACTCTTTTTCTCTCAATCCGAATGACCCCGACTAGGGATTTATCCGAGCAAGAACATATGAGACATTCTTCTCATGACACCGAGAATGGATGATATCTATCGACACTCAATAGCCCTCGTAAGGTTGACTACTACTCTTGATAATCAGCTATGCTAGATCTGGGACATCCAAATCTATAAGTCTAGTATCAAAGAGTGAAGCACTCATATAGGACATCCTTGGTGTCTCAAGTCTAAGAACCAGATACCCCACTGGGACTACGGAATTACTGTTTGACAATAAGGCATTATATCCCTAGTGTCTCTACATGAGCAGCTATGAGACCAGATGCATCTATCATATGGACGGGTATATAACACAGTAGTATGTTCGGTTATCTCAATATTCCTCTCGAGTAACCTATGACCGAGATTATTTAAGATTTGTGTTTAAAGGCGAATCGGTCTCATTATCGTGATCTCATCACGATCCAATTCCTATTGCACGGATCCAAGAACATTACAATATATATACATATGCATATATGCAACAAGTAATATAAAGTGATAAATGCCAAAATATAATAAGCAAAAAGACTACGTGTTAAGTCACATGTGTCATCACTCACGTGAATGGCTTGTACAGCATATATGACTGGCAAGATAAAGAAAGATCAATTTGTAAATGATTCATCTTAACAAATCTCATTTTTAGTATATAACAAAAAGAATCTTAGGACATCAATTAGTATGAAAAATCTTAAGTCATGAATTTCAAAAAAGATATTCTCTTTGGTAAATCATAAAAAGAAAAAAGGAAAAAAAAATCTCAATTCTCAAGTATCAAATATTGAGAAATCAAGATCATGATTTGGATTAATAACTCATTCAAATCTAAGTCATCAAAATCACTTTAGAGATTCATAAAATAACATAAATAGATTCATCAATCTTTTTTTTTTTAAATCGATAAAATAGAGAAAAAAAGATTTCAAGAAAAAATGCTTTCCTCTTTATAGTTGTTTCAATTTATGTGATTTATTTCATATAAGTATGCTTAAGTTTTTTTCTTATGAAAACCATCTATCATGTTTAAAATCGAAAAGCAATATAAAATCATCAAGATATACATAATTATTTCTTATAATATATAAGGAATTAATCTTATTTGATGTGCAAGTATTATTACAAAATATACAATTGTCATGATATATATACATATATATATATATATATATGTATATATATATATATATA